CCCCACCTCAGCCTCCTAAAGTGCTGGGATTAGAGGTGTGAACTACTATGCCTGGTCCTCTTCAAGTTCTTGATGCCGTAGTTCTTTACACAGCTGGCAGGGACATGGAATAATTGAGACCCTTGTACACTATTGGTGGGAATGTAGAATGGTACAACCACTGTTGAAAACTGTATGGCAATTTTAATTTCCTCTGCACAACATTCATAAACATAAGTGAAACATTCATAAACATGAGCCACTAAACAGTTTATGACCAAATCTTCCAAAATGTAAGAAGAAATTAAGCAGCACAAATAAGAATAAAGTGGAAAATATCCTCCAAACTCTGGAAAACTGAGAAAGAATAAGGCAAAATAAGGGATGATTGACCTGTAATTCTGTACCTGGCTAGCGGTTCAACAATTAGAAAGAGATCATGGCCTGGTGTGGTGGCTCATGCCTATAATCCAAGCAATTTGGGAGGCCGAGGCAAATGGATCACCTGAGGTCAGGAATTCAAGACCAGCCTGGCCAGCATGGTGAAACCTCATCTCTGCTAAAAATACAAAGATTAGCTGAGCCTGGTGCCATGAGCCTCTAGTACTAGCTACTTGGGAGGCTGAGGCAGGAAAATCACTTGAACCCAGGAGGTGGAGATTGCAGTGAGCTGAGATCGTTCCACAGCACTCCAGCTTGGGCAGCAGAGCAAGATTTGGTCTCAAAAAAGAAAGAGATCATCACATGCACATAAAAGAATTTTCTGATTTTAATAGTAGAATCAATGTTGTACTTGATTCTACTACTAGTAGAAAGAGAAGGAAATATGTGATAAAACATAACATGGGAATTTCTGAGTGGGGAGAATGAGGTTGTCTCCATACTTTTACGGAATGGATGTGAAGTAAATGTTCCATTAAGGAAGGACAGTAAATTCTGATTTAACACAATATGCCTTTGCAATATAGGATGATTTATTTTTCATTATAGTTCTGAGATTTTGTGGTGGCTACTTGAGTGTTTATCTTGTAAATGATAACTCATCACAATCAGGATCAGTTCTCCAGTGATCTATGGAGAAATTACAGTGATGTACAAACATACTTATTCTCTATAACTCCATTATATTTTTGCCTTTTGGGGGTATTTTGTTACATGTGTAACAATTTTTAGGATTCCACATCCATAAATAGATTTTTATAATTATTACATTGCCATTGGTACTCATTTGGTTAGCCCACTTTTTATGGTGTTATTTGCAAATATAATACACGTGTTATATTATTATATGTTGTGGGCCCAATAATCCATCAGTTCTTCATTATTTTACAGTTCCTTTTAAATCCATAAGGATAAGAAAGGTAAAGAAATACATGTTCAGTTTGTCTCTTCTTATATAATGATTCTTTAATGTTGGTCTCTGTTTTTTCCTATAGATTTTGGCATCATTTGATGTCAGAGTAGAACTTTTGGGGCTGGGCACAGTGGCTCATGCCTGTAATCCCAGCACTTCAGGAGGCAAGGTGGGCAGATCACTTGAGCCCAGGAGTTGGAGACCAGCCTGGGCAATATAGTGACACTTCATCTCTACAAAAAATCAAAAAAGTTTGCTGGGCCTGGTAGTATGTGCCTGTAGTTCCAGTTACTACTCGGGAGGCTGAGGTGGGAGGATCACTTGAGCTGAGGAGGTAGAGATTGCAGTAAGCCAAGATCGAACCACTGCACCCCAGTCTGGGCAACAGAGTAACACCCTGTCTCAAAAAGAATAATAAAAATAAATTTAAAAAACAACTTCCTTTGATCTTTTTTGTAGGGCTGGTAAGGTAAGAACAAATTCTCTCTCTCTCTCATATATGTATGTGTGTATGTGTGCATACATATACACAATGGGGAAAATATGTGTTTTGTCTTCTGTATTGAACGTTGAACATGTGCTTTGCTGGATATAGGATTCTTGGTTAAGGTATGTTTATAGCACTGCATGGTTAAGTGTGGGAGAGGCTTCCCATTGAAAGGAGGAATGGAACCTAACAAAGATTCTATTTGGTAAAAAAAAAAAGGGTAGAAAATAAAAAAAATAAAAAGAGTAAAAAACAAATATATTTTACCCTAGTCATTTATCATTACAGTAGTCAATTAACGTCACTAAACAATGAAAAATAGGAAGAATGGGATGGAAGAAAGAAATAATGTGGTTGGAGATGATAGCATTGTCTGCTCAGGAAACTGAGGACAAAACAACTGGAAATTATTAAAACTGGTGAAGGAGCGAATTTGCTGATTATGGAGTAAGCATATCCTGTATCTATGATAATATACCATTGACTTAAAAGTATATTTCTTGCAAATATATATAAATTTCTGAGGATGGCACTAATGCCATGTGCAGCATCTATTTGTGGACAAGTATGCGTGTTTTCTGATGAGATGACCTAAGTATCACCTCCGGAGGTGGTGATACTTAGATACAAATAGATGTTGCACATGGCATTAGTGCCATCCTCAGAAATTTATATGTATTTACAAGGAATATATATACATATATATATATATATATATATATACACACACACACACACAAAAACACAACTTTGGTGGATTGAAGTCTCCTCATCCCATTGTTCACTGAAGAGAAATCCTAAGATGTAGTAATTTGGGAAAATCCAATCCAAATTAACTCATGTATAGTGCTCCAGAAAATTCACATTATCAAAGAAATGTTAGTTTATAACTATTAGCCAGGTGTGGTGGCACACATCTGTAATTCCAGCACTTTGGAGGCTGAGGTGGGAGGATTGCTTGAGGCCAGGAGTTCAAGACTAGCCTGGGCAACAGTGAAACTTGTCTTTTTTTTTGAAACAGAGTCTCACTCTGTCGCTTAGGCTGGAGCGCAGTGGCATAATCTTGGCTCACCAGAACTTCCGCCTCCTGGGTTCAAGTGATTCTCCTGCTTCAGCCTCCTGAATAGCTGGGATTACAGGAGTGCACCACCACCCCTGGCTAATTTTTGTACTTTTTAGTAGAGATAGGGTTTTACCAGGTTGACCAGGCTGGTCTCGAACTCCTGACCTCGTGATCCGCCCGCCTCCACCTGGAGGCGGAATTAGTGGAAGTCCTGGAATTAGTGGTGTGAGCCACTGTGCCTAGCCTGACCTCATTTTTTTTTTTTTTGAGACGGAGTTTCGTTCTTGTTACCCAGGCTGGAGTGCAATGGCGCGATCTCGGCTCACCGCAACCTCCGCCTCCTGGGTTCAGGCAATTCTCCTGCCTCAGCCTCCTGAGTAGGGATTACAGGCACGCACCACCATGCCCAGCTAATTTTTTGTACTTTTAATAGAGACGGGGTTTCACCATGTTGACCAGTATGGTCTTGATCTCTTGACCTCGTGATCCACCTGCCTCAGCCTCCCAAAGTGCTGGGATTACAGGCGTGAGCCACCACGCCCAGCCTGACCTCATCTCTTTTTAAAAAAATAACTGTTGTCTTTATCAGTGGCTCTGGACTATGGTTTCCCACTTCTTACATTCAGGAACAAAAAACAAAGGTGAAATTATTTTGTAAAGTTTCTATACACAAAAGTTTATGAGTTAAATAGGTAGTCTTTTTTTTTAATCAGTTGATAAATTTTTTTCTTTCTATTTTGTAGTGTCTTGAATCTTTGAGTTTATTGAAGCATATTTGTTTGTTTCTTTTTTTTTGAGATGGCTTCTCACTCTGTTGTCCAGGCTGGAATGGTGCAGTGGTGTGATAGCTCACTGCAACCTCCGCCTCAAGCAATTCTCCTACCTCCAGATTTCTGCCCACTGCAACTTTCACCTCCGGGGCTCAAGCATTCTCCTGCCTCAGCCTCCCGAGCTGGGATTATTGGCATGGGCCACCACACCCGGGTAATTTCTGTATTTGTAGTAGAGATGGGCTTTCACCATGTTGGTCAGGCTGGTCTCAAACTCCTGACTTCAAGTGATCGACCTCAGCCTCCCAAAGTGCTGGGTCACAGGCATGAGCCACTGTGCCCTGCCTCTTTTTGTTATTTAAAAAGTTTTTTTTTTTTGAGTCAAAAGTTTTTTACCCATCGGAAAAAGGAACATAAGCTAACAAAAAGCAAGTATGTCTGTTTACCCCAGTCATCTATCATTACAGTAGTCTGTTATTTAATGTCACAAAACATCAATATGAAGGGATGGAAGAAGCAAATGTCATTGGAGATGGTACCATTGTTTGCTCAGGAAACTGAAGACAAAACTGGAAATCTATTAAAACTGGTGAAGGGACCGGGAGTGGTGGCTCATGCCTGTAATCTCAGCATTTTGGAAGGCCGAGGCGCACGAATCACGAGGTCAGGAGATGGAGACCATCCTGGCTAACACAGTGAAACCCCGCCTCCAGTAAAAAAACAAAGAAGTAGCCAGGCATGGTGGCACGCACCTATAGTTAGTTCCAGCTACTCCGGAGGCTGAGGCCTTAGAATTGCTTGAACCTGTGAGGCTGAGGTTGCAGTGAGCCAAGATCACACGGCTGCACTCCAGCCTAAGCAACAGAGCGAGACTCTGGCTCAAAAAAAATAAATAAATAAACAAACAAACTGGTGAAGGAGTCAATTTGCTGCTATGTTTTGCCAGAGCTATGATAATACTACTTTGTCACCCAGGCTGGAGTGCAGTGGTGTGATCATAGCTCATTGCAGCCTCAAATTCTTGGGCTCAAGCAATTTTCCCACATTGCTGGGACTAAGGGCGGGCACCCAGATGCAGGCATTAAAAAATTAAAAAAAATTTTTTGTGTAAAAGCGGGATTTTGACATCTTGCCCAGGTTTCCAATTCCTGGCCTCAGCCGATCCTTGCACTTTGGCCTCCCATGGTGCTGGGATTACAGACGGGAGCCACTGCAACCGCCTTGTAGTGTATTTCTAATGGGCAAGTAGGTTTAATTTCATATGGTTATAAAATTGTCATGTAGGGGGCCTTTGAAGCATGACGTTTTGGTATTTGTTGTGACTTTCCCATTGGCCTTGTGTGGCAGGTAATGGATATCCACCCTGTGAACTGCAGACTGGCCTGGATCTCGGCGGAGGTGGGAAACCCTTTCCTCCTCCTGTCCAGCTGTCTCTGGCCAGTACAGCCTGATTTGCAGGTACGCTCCCTTTGCTGCTTGTCTGTGCGCATGCTCGCTTCAGTTCCCTTCTGAGCCTCTTGGTCCCACTGTGTGTACCTTAGGTTCGAGCACTTGGTTGCCACGCTGAGGGGCTCTCCTTCTGGGCAGTTCTTATAAGTGGTCTTTCCCATAATGAGAAGCAGTAAGCCAGGCTGTACCAGGGCTGAGGAGAAGACCTTGCCCTTGGCCACTTCATCTTTTTGGGGATATCTCACTTCTTTTCCAGTTCTAGCCCCCGCCCTTTGCTGCAGCCTACCTGGGTCTTTCCCACCTGAGATGCTCAGTTGAGGCCAGGCATGGTGGCTTACGCCTTTAATAGAGGCGGGGTTTCTCCATATTAGGCTGGTCTTGAACTCCTAACCTCACGTGATTCACCTGCCTTGGCCTCCAAAAGTGTTGGGATTACAGGCATGAGCCATCATGCCCAGCTGCTAATTTTTGTATTTTAGTGGAGACAGGGTTTCACCATGTTGGCCAGGCTGGTCTCAAATGCCTGACCGGTCTCGAACGCCTGACCTTAGGTGATACACGCACTTTGACCTCCCAAAGTGCTGAGATTACAGGTGTAAGCCCCTATTCCTGGCCTATCTTCTTTCTTCAGTAGGGTCTTGCTCTGTTGTCCAGGCTGGAGTACGGTGTTGTCATCTCAGTTCACTGCAGCCTTGACCTCCCAGTCTCAAGCAATCCTCCCATGTCAGCCTCTAGAGTAGCTGGAACCATAAACAGGTACCGCCACACCTGGCATTTTTTGTTTTTTTGTAGAGGCAGGGTTTTGCCATGTTGGTCTTGAACTCCTGGCTGAAGCCATCCTCCCACTTTGGCCTCCAAAAGTGCTGGGATTACCGATGTGAGCCACCACCTCCTGCCAGAGCTGGCATTTCTAAATCACTCCCAGATGTCATCCATGCTGCTGGTCCACAGACCACAGAGTGTTGAGGTGATAACAGACGTGGTTGTATACCTAAAGTCAAGATAAGACAAACTTTTTGGAGCTGGGAGGGAGAGTATGGAAAGGCCCCACCATTCCCATTATTTAGTGGAGTCTAGAAGCAAACATGAAGAGTCTATTTTGATTCTTCAGTGTAATAGAGAAGGGTGTGTAGGTCTGAGAGCATATGCTGGTGGAGGGGGTTCCTACTTTAGTCTGAGAGTCTATGGGAGGTTTCTCTGGGGGGCTGATGCTCCAATTGAATCCTGAAGCCTAAGTAGGAGTTACACAGGCAGAGGTAGCTCTTCTAGAGTTTCTGATGGAGTGAAGGAGAGAGGAGAGTGAAGGATGGGTCCTATCGTTCAGAGATCCTGGGCGCTGCCTCTCACTCAGAGGAGGAAGTCTCAGGGGAGATGATTGGAGGGAAGAGAAGGGTTATGTTTTGTGTTTAGCCATGATATATTTCAGACAAAGGGAGGTGTTCAATAGCTGTTGGACCTGGGATTCTGGAGCTTGAGAGAAAGATCTGGGTAGAATTTTGAGTCATTAGCATATGAAGGTTATTTGAAGGCCTGGGTCTGGAAGACACCACCTGGTTCCAGGGTGAGTGGCAAAGTATAACCGAAGAAGGCTCGGGACCAGAGGCTGTCTACCTCTGAGGGCCGCAGGAAGAGGAGCCTGCAAGAGACTGGGCAGGTTGTGGGGCTCCAACCCCAAGGCAGCATCTAGGGGGGAGTGTTTACAGCTGAAGCCCTGGTGGGCATGTGTTACAGCTCTTTCAGTTTAGCTGTCTGTAGGTGGCTTGTGTTAGTTCAATTAGACCCCCGCCTTATCGCAAGGACAAAGGGCTTTCTGTATCCTGGGCTTTCTTGCCTTGGTGTACCAGAAGAATCAGACCACATGTGGGCTTGGAGAATGAGTGTAAAGGTTTTTTTTTTTTCTTGTTTGTTTGTTTTTTGAGACAGAGTCTCACTCCGTCACTCAGGCCAGAGTGCAGTGGCAGGACCTTGGCTCACTGCAAGCTCCGCCTCCTGGGTTCAAGCAATTCTTCTGCCTCAGCCTCCCCAGCAGCTGGGACTACAGGCACACACAGCCACACCCGGCTAATTTTTTTTTTTTTTTTTTTTTTGTATTTTTACTAGAGATAGGGTTTCACCGTGTTGCCCAGGCTGGTCGTGAACTCCAGGCAATCTGCCGCCTCTGCCTCCGCCTCCCAAAGTGCTGGGATTACAGGCATGAGCCACCACGCCCGGCCAAGTGTAAGGTTTTATTGAGTGAAAGTAGCTCTCAGCAGATGGGGGAACCAGAAAGGAGTTGGGGTGCGAAGGTGGTTTTCCCCTAGAGTCAGGCCGCCCAGTGGCCGGGCTTTCCTCCTACTGCCCCAGGCTAACTGCGTCATTCCACCAGTGGATGGTCTGTTGGTATCTGCCAGTGCCTGTTGGTGTGCTTCTCCCCCAGTGTGTTCTTCTCGATGTCCAGCCGTTTGTGTCTTCTTCCACCTGTGTGTTCCTCTTGATGTCTAGCTGCTTGTGTGCATGCCCACTAGGGTCTCAGAGTTTTTATAGGCACAGGATGGGGGTGTGGCAGGCCATGGTGGTCTTGGGAAATGCAGCATTTGGGTACAAAAACAGAAAGGCCTGTCCTTACCCAGGTCCATGGGGACAGACCCAGGGGTTGAGCCCTCATTAGGGACCAGCACAGGGTTCCACCCTTCCCTTCCCAGCACTTCCCTGTCCCTCTCCAGTATCATTTCCCCCTGTGAAGAGGTACATATAACTCCCATTAGTATATGGATAACAGTCAGTCTTAGGCTACTTCCTGCTGACAGGGGGCGTTGTTTTGGGGATAATAGCGTCAGATTCCTTCCAGAGGTCTATCTAAGGGTTCTTAGCAAAGGGGAGCCATTCATCCGAGACTCCAGTTGCCTGTTTGGAGTTTGATGGCTTCTAAGCATGAGAGGAAAATAAAACAAGTTTTATAAGGTTTAGTATGCATGGGTTAAACGTGTGTATTTTACAAGGAAAGAATTTAGTGCCAAAGATTACAGAGATAAGAAGTGAAATATACTAACAACAACATTGTACCCCGAGCTGTTTCAGCCTGGTGAAAGCAATTGAACCTTGTATGGGAGCAGTTAAATTTTAGAAGACAGATAACTATTCTTGCCATATGTTTAGGAGTTAACAGGTGGACCCTGGGAATTCTGGGGTTTGTGTGCTTGCACAGTGGCTATTAGAGCTTTTACCTCTTTTCTCTATTGTAAAAAACTGAGGTGGCCACTTTCAGGAGGTCCCCTAATGTACTATCTGGTCCCGGAGCCTGTGTTTGTAACTTCCTCTTGATGTCAGGAGCTGCCTGAGTAATAAATTTATCCTTTAGGATTAGTTGTCCCGTGACTGAATCAGGAGCTAGGGAGGTGTGCTTTACCAAGGCCTCTCTCAGCCTTTCCAGGAAGGCAGTGGGATTTTCATCAAATCCCTGGTCGATCATGTACAACATAGTACAGTTGAGAGGCGTGGTCTTAGTCCCATGAAAGTCCTCCATTATGCACACCTAAAAGTGTCTCCTTTTCCAGTCTTCCATTACAGGCATGAGCCACCACTCCCGGCCAAGTGTAAGGTTTTATTGAGTGAAAGTAGCTCTCAGCAGATGGGAGAACCAGAAGGGAGATGGGGTGGGAGGGGGTTTTCCCCCTTCCCTACTGGGGTCATATACTGGTACTGCTTCTCTTCTAGTTGGATAATATTCACCCTCTTCACTGATGCTATATATGATACAAGGCTCATCCCCAAATCTCTCTGCTGCTTGCAGAGTGGCCTGCTTCTCAGTGTCCATCAGGGTCTGATTCAAAAGTAACATATCTTTCCAGGAGAGTTCAAATATCTGAGTGAAGTTCTGGAAAGCCTCTATATCTATCAGGGTCATCTGAAAACTTGCCAAGATCCCCTTTGCTTTGCTTTAAGTCCTATAAGGAGAAGGGGACCTTACTGGGCCCAAATTAACTGGGCATCTGTTGGAGGGACAAGAGTGAGACTGGGGCTTGTTTACAGCGAGGATTTCTAGGAGGCGGCAAGTGAGAGGCTGGAGCTGGATAGGGAGGTCCGGGTAGACCCGGAGGAGCAGGGGTTGAGGGAGCTGGCTTCTCTGCTAGGGGTGCCTCTAGGACTCATGTCTTTAATTCCCTGGGCTTTACTCTTGTAGCCTTCCCTGAGATGGCGAATAGGAAGGCTGGATCAATCCTGCACTGTGGGCAAAGATCTGGATTGCCTTGCAAGGTATAGAAAGCCTGCACATATGGGGCCTCAGATCATCTGTTCTCACATCTACAGAAAAGTTCCAACAGCTGGATGGTATTGAAATGAATGGTTCCTTCCTGAGGCCCGGCCAATCCTTCATAATTTGGCCAAACCTTTGTACAGAGGACTATGGGGCATTTTCCTCCCAGATTCAGAGGGTCAAAGCAGGCCCAGTGGTTCAGGATACACTCCAGAGGAGTATAAGCTGGGGGTGGTGAAGAGAGCTGGTTGCTCATTCTAAAAGACAGGGAATAGAGGCGTCCCTCATTCCCTTCTTTCTTTCAGTGAATACTCAGCGTATGGAGAGAAAGACAGCATCCTCCCTTCCCTTCCACTTCTTATCCCTGAGTCCCAGTGACCTTGGCAGGTGCTGGCCATCAGTACTGATGCAGTATGTACCCATGAAGCATAGAAAACATGGAAAATAGGAATTAACCGCCCTTGCCTATGCCTTCATTTTTCCTGCTGTAGGTAACCTTTGAGTTCCCTTGGCCTGTTTATGCCATGAAGCATGGCCCCCTTCCATGGGTTTGGGGTGTTTGTTCAGCAGGAATCAGTCCTTCCCGTTTACATTGTGCCTGTTGCCTGGCTTTGGATCCCTCTGACCTGGTTTTTCTTTCTAGGGTCTCAGCCTGAAGCTCAGAATCGAGTTTGGGACTGAAAAGGTACTTCAGAGGCTGTCTGTATCTGTTGAGAGTCTCCTATGTGCCCTGCCAAATTTACAGTTATCAGCCGGCAGTGGTCGTTCCTCTGGGATGCCAAGGGGGGGCGGATCACAAGGTCAAGAGATTGAGACCATCCTGGCCAATATGGTGAAACCCCTTGTCTACTAAAAATACAAAAATTAGCTAGGTGTGATGGTGCACATCTATAGTCCCAGCTACCAGGAGACTGAGGCAGGAGAATCACTTGAACCCAGGAGGCAGAGTTTGCAGTGAGCTGAGATCGCTCCACTGCACTCTAGCCTGGCGACGGAGTGAGATTCTGTCTCAAAAACAAAGTAAAAAAATTTTAAAAAAGAAAAGGAAAAAGAGAAAAATAGTTTAAGGGGCAAAAGGGGGTGACCCATCCTGGGGGAAGAACCCCTTGCTCAGTGCAAGGGGTCCCTCTAATCCTTATATTTTTTTTCCCCTTGTTCAGACCAGGTTGAATTCCGTGGCCTGGGGAGAAACGTTCTGTTGGCATGGTGGGCAAGAAGTGCCCTGTGTGGTCCCAGGTACCACCAGTTTTTCTCCCATTCCCCATGTCCCAGATGGTGGAGGCAGAGGTAGAGGGAGCAGTGGCCATGGCGCCGCTCCCCCTTACCCCTTCATGGATGTTGAGCTTAGCTTTTACCTGCTGCAGGCATGTACAGGTGCCTGAGCTGGGAGAGAAAAGGATGAGGAGAGGTACCCTGAGCAGTGTGTATCTGCAGCTGTTGGGGTGAGGCACAGATGGCGCCTCTAGGAACAGTTAGTCTGATTTGCATCCTTGGCAGCTGAGCCAAACACTCATTTTACAGAGTAACATTGCTGCAGCCTGTAGCAAAACACTTAACATTAGAAATGAAGAGATAAGAGCCATTTCAAACCTTGAGAGACAGAAAAGAGATGAAGTCTGGGGGTTTTAACTGGCTGGTTAGAGCAGAGTTTTAAAACTCCAGGAAGGGAAACAGCTTCTTGCCTGCAGGAAAGAGAGAGAGGTGGCAGGGTTTTGGAAGAGAGGCAGACAGTTCTGCATTTCCTTACACTCACCTTCCAAGATGCTGGACAAGCCCCCAGTTGAAATGGGTAAAGTTCCTTTATCCCCCTCAAGGAGCATGTGACAGGGGGAGTGGCTCACTTCTTCAGTGCCCCACTGCTCAAACCTCTGGGGGAGTTTGCAGACAGGCAGCTTGCAGGGCTCCGACCCCAGAGCAGCGTCTAGGGGTGAAGGGCATGTGTTACAGCTCCTTCAGTTCAGCCGTCTGTAGGCAGCTTGTGTGTTAGTCAGCTCAATTACACCCCTTGCCTTATCACAAGGACAGGAGGGCTTTCTGTATCCCGGGATTTCTTGCCTTGGTATACCAGAATAATTGGATCACATGTGGGCTTGGCGATTGAGTGCGAGGTTTTATTAAGTGGAAGTAGCTCTCAGCAGATCAGGGAACCAGAAGGGAGATGGGGTGGGAAGGTGGCTTTTCCCTAGAGTCAGGCCACCCAGTGGCCGGGCTCTTTTTCTCTCCTCCATCCTGGCCAAACTCTGTGTTGTTCCGCTGGCATCTGCTGGTGTCAGTTGGTATGTTCTTCCGCTAGTGTGTTCCCCTTGACGTCCAGCCACTTGTGTCTTCTTCCACCTCTATGTTCCTCTTGACATCCAGGTGCCTGTGTGCATTGCATGCCTGCTAGGGTTTTGGGTTTTTGTTTGTTTGTTTTGAGACAGAGTCTTGCTCTGTTTCCCAGGCTGGAGTGCAGTGGTGCGATCTCAGCTCACTGCAACTTCCGCCTCCCACTTCAAGTGATTCTGCCTCAGCTAAGTTTTGTATTTTTAGTAGAGACAGGGCTTCACCATGTTGGCCAGACTGGTCACAAACTCCTGACCTCGGGTGATCTGCCTGCCTCGGCCTCCTGAAGTGTTGGGATTACAGACATGAGCCACTGTGCCTGGCTGGTGTCCCAAGGTTTTTATAGGCACAGGGTGGGGTTGTGGCAGGCCAGGGTGGTCTTGGGAAATGCAGCATTTGGGCATGAAAACAAAAAAGCCTGTCCTCACCTAGGTCCATGGGCACGGGCCCGGGGGTAGGGCTCTCACCAGGGACCATGCCCTTCTTTTCCCAGCACTTGCCTGTCCCCCTCCTGTATTAGTATCCTGAGTTCTTTGTCTCACATCTAAGAAGATTAAGGGATGTGGACACAGTGCTAGCTTTGGGAGCACATATACTAAAATTGGAATGAGGCCGGGCACAGTGGCTCACACTTATAATCCCAGCACTTTGGGAGGCCAAGACAGGTGGATCATGAGGTCAAGAGATCAAGACCATCCTGGTCAACATGGTGAAACCCCGTCTCTACTAAAAATACAAAAATTAGCTGGGCATGGTGGCACACACTTGTAGTCCCAGCTACTTGGGAGACTGAGGCAGGAGAATTGCTTGAACCCAGGAGACGGAGGTTGTGGTGAGCCGAGATCATGCCATTGCACTCGAGCCTGGGTAACAAGAGTGAAACTCCGTCTCAAAAAAAAAAAAAAAGTAGAACGACACAGAGAAGTTTAGCATGGCCACTGGGCAAGGATGACATGCAAATTCGTGAAGCGTTCCATATTTTTGTTTTTTTAAAAAAAGGGATGTGGACACAAAGGGTAAGGTTGGAGCAAAAGTTTCATAAGTGAAAGAAGAAAGCTTTCCACAGTAGAGAGTGGGTACTGAATGCATTGCCCACTCTGAGGCTGAAATGTGGGGTTTTCATGGCTTGGGAAGGGGAGGAATGTGCTTACTTGTCTTTGAGAAAGCACTACTCAGCTTGGCCCAAGGACCTTGGGGCCCAAGACTAGTTGGGAGCTGAAGTGAAAGTTTGGCCTGGGACCTTGGCCTGGGACCACTCGGAGGCTGAGAGGTGATGATTCATAGTGACTTGGCTCACAGTCCAAAGCATGTTCAGAAAAGGAAAGCAAAGTGTGCAGTGGAACCTACCAGAGCCTCCTGTGTTTATGCCCACAAAAAGAGAAAAGACTATTTCCTGGAAGCCCGCTGGTTACATGAAGGACAAAGGTGTTTTTATGCTGGGTCTTGCTTCCTTATCAGAGTGGCTGCAGGCATGTCAAAGGCATTTCTGTGTTGGGCCTTGTTCCTTTATCTTAGTGGGCCAGAGGTTTGTGCAAGTTTTCTTATCTGTCCCTGCAGCCTGATTTTTCAGGCTGTTTGTTTAAGTGAGATTTACCAAGGACCCACCCTAACTGTCAAAATCTGCTCTCAGAACTACCTGAGACTGGATAACTTATAAAGAAAAGAGGTTTAATTGGCTCACAGTTCTGCAAGCTGTGCAGGAAGTACAGCTGGGGCGTCCTTAGGAAATGTACAATCATGGCGGAAGGCAAAGAGGAAGGAGGCATTATACATTATACATGGCTGGAGCAGGAGGAAGAGAGAGATGGGGGAGGTGCTGCATACTTTTAAACAACCAGATCTCATGAGAACTCACACACTATCACGAGAACAGCAAGGGGGAAGTCCACCCACAGGATCCAATCACTTCCTACCTGGCCACTCCTCCAACAGTGGGGATTACAATTTGGACATGAAATTGGGTGGGAACACAAGTCCAAACCGTATCAACATGTTACCATGCAACTTGCTATTTCCACTTAAAGTTTCATACACATACACTACCCTTGTTCTTAGCAGCTATACTATGCATTGTGTGACTCTGCAATAGTATATTCAACTGTTATCCTACTAAGGGATAATCCCAGAAGCTTTCTGATTTTTATGTGTGGTGATCCAGTAAAAGTCTCTGGACCCGTATTAAGAATAATGACTTAATGAGTATGGTGGCTCATGCCTGTAATCCCAGCACTTTGGGAGGTTAAGGCGGGCGGATCACAAGGTCAGGAGGTTGAGACCATCTGGCCACATGGTGAAACCCCATCTTTACTAAATACAAAAAGTTAGCCGGGCATGGTGGCATGTGCCTGTAATCACAGCTACTCAGGAGTCTGAAGCAGGGGACTCACTTGAACCTGTGAGGTGGGACAGAGGTTGTTGCTTCTTTGCTCAGCCCTGAGAACCACAGAAAGGGGACAAGGCAGGGCTGAGTGGAGAAGGGCAGGTCTTGGGGGAGGGGAAGGGGCTGATCCAGTCCCTTACACCTATAGCCCAGGCCCTGGCAGTTCAGCATTGGGTTAGATGTACCTAGATAATCCTCCAGTGAACCTGGGGAATGACTGTGTTAAGAGATGAGAGCCTGGGAGACGATGTGACTAAGGAGGATGATAGGTGTGGTGGTCCATGGGAGGGAGTGAGTTGGAGAGGAGCTTGAGGTAAACTGGGAAATGAGTTAAAGTCCTCAAGTGGGAGCGGGCCAGGTTCATGCCTGTAATCCAAGCACTCTGGGAGGCTGAGGCTGAAGGATTGCTTGAGGCCAGGAGTTCAAGACCAGCCTGGGCAACATAGGGAGACCCTACAAAAATTAATATTAAAAAATTATATTAAATTTTTTACAAAATTAATTCTCTACAAAAATTAATATTAAAAAATAGGCCAGGTGCAGTGGCTCACACCTGTAATCCCAGCACGTTGGGAGGCCGAGGTGGGCAGATCACAAGGTCTGGAGTTCAAGACCAGCCTGGCCAACATGGTAAAACCCCATCACTACTAAAAATACAAAAGTTTGCCAGGCATCATAGCATATGCCTATAATCCCAGCTACCTGGTAGGCTGAGGCAGAATTACTTGAACCAGGACCCAGGAGGCAGAGGTTGCAGTGAGCCAAGATCACACCACTGCATTCCAGCCTAGGCTATAAAGCGAGACTCCATCTCAAAAAAAAAAAAAAAGCCAGGCATGGTGACATGTGTCTGTGGTCCCAGCTATGCAGGAGGCTGAGGTGGGAGGATCACTGAGGCCAGAGGTCAAAGGCTGCAGTGAGCCGTCATCACAGCCTGAGCAACAGAGGGAGACCCTCAAAATTTTTTTTAAAAATGAAGTCCTGAGATGCCTGAGGATCAAGGTGTGGCAAGGGACCAGGAAGGAACTGGAGTTAGACCAAGAAAAGGATCAGGACACTGAGAAGACAAGGACCTAACCTGGTGACCTGGATTGGACAAGGTTCCTGAGCAGGACTTGGGCAAGAAATAGATAATAACCTAGAGAAAAGAACCACCAGGTAAGCCGGCTCAGCTTACAGGGGCTGGTACAAGGCTCTTAGTCCACCCTCCGCATCCTGGGGGGTGCATCTGGTAGGCAACTGAGACAGAAGATGGGCTCAAGGACCAATAAGGGGATCAGGGTGGGAACCTGGTACTGCAGTGGGGAGGGATCACAGGCTAGCCGGGGCCACCTGAGCGAAGACAAGGATATGTGCCTGGGGGTGGGAGGATCTGAGTGAAAACTGGGATCAGGCTGGGTGGGGTGACCTGAGGAGGAACCAGGTAAAGACTTGGTAGCAAGACCTGGGCTTGGATAGGGCTCTGCCTCACTCACCCTGAGCTCTATAGAGCTGTCCTTCAGGCGGCTGCGGCCCTGGGACTGTTCCTTTAGCACAGTTGGCTACACGTTCCCACCCTGTGTGTGAGGGTGTCCAGGTGAGGGGCTGCCCCCCCATGCCTGTATGACACAGAGGAGGTGGAAAAATGGACTGTAGGATGGAAGGCACAGGATAAAACGCTGATTCCCCCATCTAAAGAATGGGAGGGTGAAATGCATGGTGGAGGTCTGGCTGGGGTTCTGGGGCCAGCATGATATAAACACAGCTGTTAACTGGGTTGTAGTGTCCTACCACCAGCTCAGTCTGGCCCACGTTCCAGGTGGGTCAACAATATCATGTAGGTGAACAGGGTGGGGATGAACACAGTATTAGAATGAGAATAATAAATAGGAAAGAACAAATGTAAGCACATTTCCCCTTACTTCATTAGACAATTCCCCAAACATGGGACTAGATTATTCCCCCCAAAAAATGGTTGAGATTCGTTCATCTGACAGAGAGTGTTTCTCTTTTCTTTTCTTTTTTTCAGACAGAGTCTTGCTCTGTTGCCCAGATTGGAGTGCCATGGCACAATCTCGGCTCACTGCAACCTCTGCCTCCTGGGTTCAAGCAATTCTCCTGCCTCAGCCTCCCAACTTGCTAGGACTACAGGTGCAGGCCACCACGCCTGGCTAATTTTTTGTATTTTTAATAGAGATGAGTTTTCACCATGTTAGTCAGGATGGTCTTGATCTCCTGACCTCATGATCCACCCGCCTCAGCCTCCCAAAGTGCTGGGATGACAGGTGTGAGCCGCCACGCCTGGCCTTCTCTTCTCTTTTAAAATGTGTAAATTAGACACTAGTTTTCTCATGTCGTGCACATAAAAATAGTATTTTCTTTTCTTTTTTTTTTTTTGAGACGGAGTTTCGCTCTTGTTACCCAGGCTGGAGTGCAATGGCGCGATCTCAGCTCACTGCAACCTCTGCCTCCTGGGTTCAGGCAATTCTCCTGCCTCAGCCTCCCGAGTAGCTGGGATTACAGGCACGCGCCACCATGCCCAGCTAATTTTTTGTATTTTTAGTAGAGATGGGGTTTCACCATGTTGACCAGGATGGTCTTGATCTCTTGACCTCATGATCCACCCGCCTTGGCCTCCCAAAGTGCTGGGATTACAGGTGTGAGCCACTGTGCCTGGCAAAAGTAGTATTTTCCATCAGTGGTTACTCACTGTCCTTGCTGGGCAGACAGTGTATCCAGAGCGCAATGGTTTTGGAGTATCCAGGTATGGATAAAATATTTACTTCTGGCTGGAGTGCTTCCCAGATTCTCATAGCCAGGGGTCCAGGCATGGTGACTTAAGCCTGTAATCCCCACATTTTGTGAGGCCAAAGCAGGAGGATCACTTGAGTCCAGGAATTTGAGACTAGTCTCAGGAACACAGGGAGACCCTGTGTTTATAGAAAAAATTAAAAATTAGTTGGGTGTAGTGGTGCATGCCTGTAGACAGAATGAAACCCTGTCTCAGAAAAAAAAAAAAAAAAAATTAGCCAGGCATACTGACATGTGCTTGTAGTCCCAGCTACTTGGGAAGCTGAGGTGGGAGGATAACTTGAACCCAGGAGTTTGAAGCTAGAGTGTGCTGTGATTGCACCTCTGCACTCCAGCCTGGGTGACAGAGCAAGACCCTGTCTCAAAATAAATAAATAACAGTGTAAATTAAGTAATAATAAGAAAGAGATTTTTTCCTGGCTCTGAAACCATTTCTGGACCTGCAAGGCAATCATGTGGAATGGAGTGGGGCTCTCCATCACCAGGGCAGGTAGTAGATTAGCCAGATTTACTGGTATAATGTTAGACATAGCCCAATAGAACAAATAGACCAGAAATAATCTCCTTAATTTATAGTCAATTTCAACATGGTGCTGGGACAATTGGATATTAACCTGCAGAAAGATGAACTGAGATGTTTATCTCATATCATATGTGAAAATTAACATATACTAAAATGGTGAAAAGTACAAATATAAAGTATCAGATGTAGGAGGGTATCTTTGTGACTGAGGGGAAGGAGCTTTGTTGTGTGTGTGTGTGTTTAAGAACACCAAAGGTGCCTGTAATCCCAGCACTTTGGGAGGCCGAGGC